TCCGAGCGGGCCGCCAGCAAACCTGCCACCTGGAATTCGACCGGGCTCCTCCGGCACGAATATGGAGGAAGTCAGGTCGGCGACGTCTCAACCGGGGGAGCTCCCTGGGGTCACCGAGCGCGTTCCACTTCTCGCAAAGTGCCTACTCGCAAACGCCCGAAAAACACATGTCTGATTCGACGTAATTTCTCGTAGAATCCCCCCAGCGGGTCCAGACCATTTGCGAGTAGTCACTTTGCGAGTAATGGAGCGCGCTCGTCTATCCCTGGGGGGACGGAGGGGGCAGGGTCGGGGAGGGGGAACGAGGGGAGAGAGGACACCAGGAAGGGAAGGTCCCAGATGATGGGAGGTCCCTGGAAGAAGCCCTCGCAATGGCTTGGATCTCTCCGAGCTCCGACGAGGGGATCCTCGAACGCCTCGACCTCCTCCTTCCCCTCCTCCTCCTCCTCCTCCTCCTCCTCCTCCTCCTCCTCCTCCTCCTCCTCCTCCTCCTCCTCCTCCTCCTCCTCCCCTCCTCCTCCTCCCCCCTCCTCCTCATCATCCTCCTCCTTCTCTTCCGCCTCCTCCTCCTCCTCCTCCTCCTCCTCCTCCTCCTCCTCCTCCTCCTCCTCCCCCCTCCTCCTCCTCCTCTTCCGCCTCCTAATCCTCCCTCTCTTTCTCTCTCCCTCCTCCAATTTTGAGCGGGCCTGAGCGGGCCATCCAATCCACGGGGCCATCCAATACAGAGCTCGTTGGGCTCCGAGCGGGCCATTCAATCCACGTGGACGCAGCTGAATCCAGGCGAGGTCCTTTGGGCTGTTTAGATGGCCACTCGCTCGACCCATCTGGAGAGGAGGAATGCTGCATCTCTACGTCATGCTCTCCCGCGCCACGTGCATGCGAAACATGCTGATCCTGCGGCCGCCCCCGCGGGAGTTCCTGGAGAGCGGGCCGCCGGCGTCCCTGCAGAAGGTGGCGTTCAGGAATTTCGGCAAGAGAGCGGAGAGCTCCAGGGCAGAGGCGGGGCAGCTCGCGGCAGAGCTGGATTTCATGCTGCCTCCTGCCTGAGCGCGGCCGCGACGTTAGCTCGGTGCCTGCGGGGTTGTCCCAACGGCTTGCTCCCGCGTCCCAGCAGCTCGCGGGGTTGCCCCAGAGGCCTGGCCCGCGGGATTACCCCGACGGCTTCGTGATGTGGTCGTTCGAGAATGCGCCCGTGCTGGCCGAGGCTGCGACGGCGCCGAGGGAAGCCGACGCGCGCGTTTTTGCAGCAATAGGGAGGGGAGGAGCTGGCGGGGGGTGAAACAAGCAGGAGAGCGAGGAGCGGGCAACGTAGGGACCGGGAGGAGGGCCTGCGCCAGGGCGATACGGGGAGTGATGCATAGGAGACAGTAAGGACGCCTCACCAATCACGAGGACGACGATGAGGGGCACCCCCAGATTAGCCGAGAGGGTTCTCACGCGGCGTCCTACCGTCGGAGTAATTCGCCCGTGAGGACACGCCCGGCGTGAAAACGCTTGGCATCGCTCGGACGTGCGCATGTTTCCTTCGGCCAGGACCATGGAAGATCATCCTTGATCATTCTGTCAGAAAACCACGCACGAAACCGACCAAAAAAAACAGGGAATGGACGTCCGAGCGATGGCCAGAACGTGCGACGCCCAGACCTCAGGGTTCGGCGGCGCGCAGAGGGGGTCGGCGGGGAAGTGGCAGCGGCGCGCCGCGCCCCCCAAGCGCAGGACACTTGGTGCAGGGAGCGTGTTAGGCGAGCGCCGCCCTCCGTGCGCGGAGTATGGGATCGTCATGGCGCTGGGGGGAATCAGGAGGGGAGGAAACACACAGACACAATGAATCGTCGATCCCAAAGAATATATAAAAATCTATGGGAAGTGGGGGGGGAAAACAAACACCCAAAACAGACGTAGGAAAATATGGGAATAGCTTGATTTGTGTGTATTTATTTGTGTGTTCCAGGCCCCCTTCAGGAAATTCGGCCGGTACGAAGGGTATGGCTCGACCCATTGGTCGTTGACAATGGGTGCGTTTGGGGTCCCAGATTCCGATCTATTTGAAGGTTTTTTTTTTTCACTTCAGTGATCGAGTGGCTTCACCGCTTCCACCCTGTCTAAGGGGCGGGCGGACACCCAATCTATTTTCGGCGGGCGGACACCCAATCTAACCCCGAACAGCCGAGAATAACCCCCCAGGGATAATACAGTTCGGCGGCTACGGTGTGATAGTAAACGTTGCCCACCAGAGGCCAGCATAAAGATGTTAACAAAGGGGCCCAAACCGAGGATATCTTGAGACATCCTTGGTTTTCTGTCCTCTCTGAAACATCCTGAAGGAACGCGCCGGCTTTTAATATTCTTATAATACAGAACTGAAGCTCGGAGGTGCGCGCGCGCGCCTCTGAACTTCATTTCTATATTATTCACCATTCATAAATCGACATTTAATTCCAAAAACGGAATTGCAAAATTCTAGAGTTCTTTAAGGAGGTTGAAGGAACGTGTCGGCTATTCATATTTTAATAATACGGAACTGAAGCTCGGACTTTCTATACATATTCCTCATGTGCCTCGTTTTCCCAGACTAATTAAACAGAGCGGTAAACAAGTTCAGGGGGGCAGGGCGAGGAGAAGAACGAACGAGATATACATCGACATATGAAACAAGAAGAGGAGGAGGAGGAGGAGGAGGAGGAGGAGAAAGAGCAAGAGGAGGAGAGGAGAAGGAAATAGCAAACATCCAACGTTTAAAACTTATGATATTGAATTTGTAAACGCTTAAGGAACATTAAACTGTTCATCTGCTCGTGTAGGGTAGCTCACGTGCCTCGTTTTCCCAGGATAATCAACCCCAGCGATAAACAAGTTCAGGGCGCCAGAGGAAGGAGGAGGAGAAAGAGATAGAGAGACAGAGAGAGAGAGAGAGAGACAGAGAAATAAATAAAGACAGACATAAAGAACTACAACGAGACAGAAGGACATTGATTTCGCTTGAGATATCCTGAAAAAACGTGTTCGTTTCGCTTGATGTTGCTATCTCAACATACGAAGGAAGTAACCTCGATGGCGAACTTTTCACAGTGATAATGCAGTTCGGCCTCCGCGCCCCGCGCCCCCGACCAATTTCTTATTGGCCGTGGATAATCAACTCTTATGTGTATAGGAGGGGGGGGAGTACATTATTATCGTGGGTATGGGGTTACTTTCGACGCCTTCCCGTTGCATGCTTCTACCTACGTTTTCCGACCGATGGGTCGGCCTCTTAGATTGGGTCGGAGTGGATGGATTCGGAAGATCGCACCGCATCATCGATGCATCGCCGATGCGGCTGGATGCGGAGCCCGATGTTCCTGACGCGGACGTCGCCGATGCATCGCCGACGCCGCTGTTGCGTCGCCGATGCATCGCCGATACATCGCCGATGTATCGGCGATGTGGCGCGATCCTGCTTCCCCTTTTATTCCGACCCCATCTCGGATGCATCTACATTGAGTACCCATCGGCATGGCGCTGGGGGGAAATCGGCGATTACGAAGTGTACGGTTAATTGCTGAGGGTCTTTAAGTTCCCCCCCCTTTTCATTCGGCGGTGACACGGGACTCGTCCTAAAACCTCGTCCTCCTCGTCCTCCTCGTCCTCCTCCTCCTCCTCCTCCTCCTCCTCCTCCTCCTCCTCCTCCTTTCCTCCTCCCCATCCTTCCTCCTCCTCCTCCTCCTCCTCGTGCCTCCTACATTCCTGTGGCAGTGTGGCCCTCGGAAGGGTCTTGTGTCCTCTCGCGTGTCCTGTCCAACCAAGTCTGAGTGTATCCCACCACCCCACTATGTCGAAGGGCGGAGTCTTTTCGTTCGGGACATCCCGAGCGTAGTGAACCCCACCTCCCCTCGTAGAAATCGTTGGGTGGGGGGGTAGGGTTCGCATGTGGCCTCTCGGCGTCGCCGCGAAAGGGCGTGGGGAGGGGGGGACCCGACGCCGCCCCGGGACGTCCGCGCGGTCCCTTCGCCGGTGTGTGCTCGCGCCGCTCTTGCCTGTCCTCCGAGCGTCGGCACCCTCTGACAGGGAAGGAGACGATCGAAGAATCACCGCCCCCCCCGGAGAATCAGCGTTTCTCCTTTCTTCGGGCGGGTGGCAATCGGGGGTGACCCAAAGGGGGGGTGGAGAGAAGGATGCTAAGAGGGGCCCTCCCGGGCCCCTTGTTGGAGCCAGCCAGGGGCGCCGAAAGGGGCCCTTTGGGGACCTTTGCATTTCCCCCCCCCCCCATTGAGGTCCCCCCCCCATTACCACCCGCCTGGCCCGCTCCCCGTGTATCCTTTCATAGGGGAAGAAAAAGTGGCATAAACATAACAACTCGGATGTCCGCGCGGATTTCCCGGATCGGCGCTTGGGCCCCCCAGCGGCGCCTCCGGCGCCGCCCCTGGCGCGCGAAGCGCGCCAGGGAGGGGGGTCCAGCGCCGATCCGAGAAATCCGCGCGGACCTCCGTTTTTATGTTTATGCCACTTGTTCTTCCCCTATTTCATCCACGGGGTTGAACGAGGTTCACTTGAAACAGCAGGCGGGGAGGCAGATCTTTGTTGTCCCCTCCAAAGCTCCCATCGTAGCTCCGATTGTGAGGATGTCTCAGGCGAAACGCGATCCAGACATCGCACCATCGATGTCTCCTGGAAAAAGTTTGGCGCCCCGCCTGGACCCCGAACTTTAGCATCCCCAGGGGATTAGTATCACCAGGCTGTGGCCGATGCTTTGCGCGGACCTTCGAAAGTTTATGTTCATGCAGTTGTTGTTTTTTCCTCTAGCGACGAGGCGAGGATGTATCTATACAGTCAAAAACCCTAATAAGGACGCGCGACTTTGCTCAGGGTACCCTTCCGTCCTTGCTCTTCCTTGCTCCTGCATCCTTGAAGTTTTCGTCGTCCGCCGCCCCAAAAATCCCAACTTCGGCATCCAAGGGTCTTGCGTCCTTACCGCGCGTCCTTATTGGGGTTTTTGACTGTAGTTCCACAGGCGGTGGATACGGATGCATCCCCGCCTCGCAAAGGAGACCCTGTGCTTCAACCTCCAGAAGGGGTACTGCCTCGGGTTCATCGAGGAGCTGCCGTCCATGGGCGCGATCTTCGACGGGCTGGAGGCCTTCCTGGACCAGGCCTCCTCCATCCTCCCTCATCCTCCTGCTCTTGCTCCTCCCTCTGCTTGCTCACTCGCTCCTCCTCCTCCTCCTCGTACTCCTCCTATTTCTCCCCCTCCTCCCTCCTCTTCCTCCTCCTCCCCTTCATTTCCCATTCTCCCTGTCCCTCCTTTTATTTCTGCGTGTTCGCCTCCTCCTCCTCCTCCTCCTCCTCCTCCTCCTCCTCCTCCTCCTCCTCCTCCCCCGTCTCCAGTCGCAGAGCAGGAGATAGCATGAGCATGCGCCGTTTGCACGGCACGCTCGCCGCCGCCGTTGGCTTTCAGGACGCGTTCATCATTGTTTCCCTCTGCGCATGTCCTGACACACATCGGGGGTGGACAGACCTCCTACCCTTACACGTCGATTGAGGAATTAGCCGTTTTCGGTTCGCGAGAGCGCGCCGCGGCCGTGCTTTTTGCGGGCTCAGGTCCGTCGATCTCGGTCCCAGGCCGTTTTCACTAAAGGGAGGTTTACAGTCGGGGCCCTGAAGAAGGAACCCTTTTCGTTGCGGAGGGGCTCGGTGTTCCTTGGTTGTTCTGCAGTTTGCCTTCGGTTTTCCTGAGGTTTCCCATGGGAAATGAAAGTTCAACTTATGGGAGGAAGGGGCCTCGTTCCTTATTTAGGGTTCCTTAGGTCAACGCCCCGACTGTACTAAAGGGAGGTTTGTCCACCGCCGAACACATCCTTCGTCTGGCCGCCGCCGTAGCGCCTGCCGGGGTTCTTCGACCTTGGCACAGCGGATTCTCGGCTCCTGCCGCCCGCCGGCGGCACGACTCTCGAGACGGACATGACGGCGCGACGGCCACTCACGTCGGCGAGTATGACGTCCGAGCCCCATCATTACGTCGGGCGTGTCCCTCTACAGGGGGCATACCCAAAAACAGTCGAACCATAGTCTGGGGACGATGTTTTGACTATTGTTTTCCGCATGTGTGAAGCTTTTGTGCAGTATCTTTTCATGTTTCGCCCAAAATCCCCCTGTAGGGGGACACGCCCGACCTAACCCTATCACGACAGATGCAGAGGTGCCACACATGAATATGAAGTACGCTCAGGCAGCCAGCTTCGGCAGCGCGGCGGACCATACCAGCATCACGGGCACAACGAAGGCACCGCCAGCGTGGGATGGTCGGTGACAGCGGCTCTACCCATGCAAGCACCGGTCTCGGAGTGCTGTCTGGTTTCGGGAGCCTTGAGACGGGGGTCAATGCAAACGGGGGTCAGCCAGGGCGCCAGATCCTGCAGGATCCTGCGAAGACCCCCTCTGGCTGACCCGGGTTAGCGAGCCGCTCGTGGCCGCGAGGCAGCCGCGCATACCCCGATGGTTGCCTTTAGCGTGTGAGCTACCAGAACAGGCGCAAGGAGCGGCAGTCGTCCTTCGTCTCGCTGGGGCGTCGCGCGAACATGCCGACAGACTCGGTCCTGGGACAACAGGTCGAGACGGCGGCATGCGAGATCTTGGAAACGGATTGGGACCACACCAGGCCATTGGCTTGGCGATCGTATTGCTTGGTCATTCATCGGCAGTTTACTCCATTGGACGCTGCGACCTCGACCTTTCCAATAGCAGAGGTGATCGGATCCGACGCATGCAGGGTGAAGATATCGACAAGGTTTTGGGCAGATTTGGCAGTCCTCAGTTTCGTGTAGGCGTAGCTGGCAACTTGGATCTCGGGCCAGGCGGCTTCGCATGCCTCTTAGTGACTGGTTTGCGCCTCCCACCGGCAGAGTGTTTGAACCTCCTGATAGGCTTTCCCGGCAATTTGCCAGAGACGGAAGACCAGGTCAATGAATTGTTTTGTCTCGCCAGGCGTATTCAGCATGGTGGCACGGCGACTTTGGCGATGATATTTGGACAGGGGCACGACATGATGGGAACTCAACCACATGTGCAGCGCGTCCAGAGACAGTTCCATTTTCCTGAGGAGGTGGGTTCTCAGTCGGATCCTTGAGAATCGAACGACCCCTGGCAGCAAGGTGCGTTCATTTTTGGAGGCACTCCGACGATGGCATTTCTGACCATGCAGAAGCACGAATGTCCAGCAGGCCCGCCGCAGTTCACCTGGCCGCCCAACTCCACTGGCGAAGCGTTGGCGGCGGACCTCGATGCTTGGAGCAACAGGGAAGCAGCAGTGAGGCAACGCCGCAAAAGGAGTTCGATGCGATCAGACCTGCTGTGGAATGAGTTGCTGTTTTCCAGACGACGTTGGAAGGCATTCACAAATAAGCACACCAGCTGCGTTCGACGGCAGCATCGCAGACACCACAAAAGAAAACGACGCGGATTTCCATGCACCTGAGAAAGTTATCAGGGTTTTGGAGTTGTTTTGCTGGACCAAGTCAGGCGGGTTCGTGGAATCGCAGCTACTGCGACGATTGGGTTGATCCACCGTCCACGGCGCCAAAGTATGTAGGATTTGGCAACAACGGGAGGTGTCAAGAGGCGGTCCAATCCACGAGGCCCCGACGGAGAGGTGCTTCGCTGTCATTGATGCGAACCAGACCAACACTCCGTCAAGGCTTTTCCCCTGGCCGCCGGCCCTCATCATGCACAGGCGCATGTCGCGGGAGCTCCGCACCCTCCGTTCGGGACATGTATACGCCTCAAAGTGGACTGCTGGCAGGATCGCAGGTGCCGTCGGTCCCTGTGATTGCTGGGACGTTCTTGGCCATCCGCGCTTCATGCGATCGAGATCGATTCGACAGTCGGCACTGGCAAGCAGCTTCAATGCGCGAGGATGAGAAGTCTTGGAGTTCTTCCACAGATAGCGCGGCATGAACCGCGCACCGATGAGACGCGGTCTGGTCAAGTGATTGCCGCAGTTCGGCAGCAACGGCGCCGCGTGCATCGCTGGGGTCGGCGCCCGGGCGGTTCCGCCGCCCGGCCCAGACGTCTCCGCGCCCACTCAGGATTGCGGCAGACCGCGCGCCGACGTTTTGGCAGGTGTTGGCAGTGCCGCATTCACACCGTCGTCTTCGGGGCCTCCTCGAGCGGGCCCCTCGACGGTGGTCTCGCAGGCCAGGCAGCTCAACGGCGACGACGCAACCCGCGCGGCGGGATCGCCCGCGCAGTCGCTCGGTCGAACAGGCCGAGGCGGAGCTGCACCCGCAAATCACGTCTGTTCAAGCGGGAATCCTAATTGATCGCGCCTGTCCGAAGCCGTTTGTCGTGCTGACGAGCCCAGGCACGTTGAGCGTCGGCTTCCCGCTGCGGGGTCTGACCCTCTCGCATCCACGCGTTTCCTTCTTAGAGCAAGCAGTTCTCGCGCTGTGGAGGGCGATCAATGGAGAGGGTGCATGCTGTCAACAAAATGGCCAGATGTCCAAATTATGTTTCACACATTTCTCTAACATAAATGTTTCAATCATATTTAGAACATGCCTAACCGCCTCTTCAACTCAATGATAGGATTGCGAGGGTGCCCACTGCCGTGGCATTCGCAATTCTCGCGACGCGCGACGCAGTGCGTGGGCAACAACATTTCATGATTTGTTTCATGGGCGATGTTGATTCTTTTCGCCGACGAGCTCTGCGGGGCTGCGAGCGACGATCGCGTCGGCGCGTTCAGTCTGAGCAGCGGGAAACCGACGCCAGCCCCCATAGTTATTTCCTAACAGCGAAGACTGATATGTTTCTAGTGGTGTCAAAAGAGAGCATCTGATGACTCAGAAGGGAGGTCTGGGCGGCATCCGGACAGCGAGGGCCGGGCTCAGGGCCGGGCTCGTTTTAAGCAAACAGTCACACACTTCGTGCTCTTCGACCTCCCAGAACTCAGCTCCCGGGCCACATTTTGAATGCCCGGAGCCAATTGTAAGCCACTTCGTGCTCTTCGACTTCCCAGAACTCCATTCCCGGGCCATTTTTTGGATGCCCGGAGCCAACTGTAAGCCACTTCGTGCTCTTCGAGTTCCCAGAACTTCATTCCCGGGCCACATTTTGAATGCCCGGAGCCACCTGTAGGCCACTTCGTGCTGTTCGAGTTCCCAAAACTCAACTCCCGGGCCACATTCTGAATGCCCGGAGCCAACTGTAGCTACTTCGTGGTCTTCGAGCTCCCAGAATTCCATTCCTGGGCAACATTTTGAATGCCCGGAGCCAACTGTAGGCCACTTCGTGCTTTTCGATTTCCCCAAACTCCATTCCTGGGCATGGTTTTGAATGCCCGGAGCCCACTGTAGGCCACTTCGTGGTCTTCGAGTTCCCAGAACTCCATTCCTGGGCATGTTTTTGAATGCCCGGAGCCAGCTGCAGGCCACTTCGTGTTCTTCGAGTTCCCAGAACTCCATTCCCGGGCCACATTTTGAATGCTGAGGCTGGCTGAGGCTGAGGCTGAGGCAGGCTGAGGCTGAGGCAGGCTGAGGCTGAGGCGAGGCTGAAGGCAGACTGAGGCTCAGGCTGAAGCAGGCTGAGGCTGAGGCTGAGGCTGAAGCAGGCTGATGCTGAGGCAGGCTGAGGCTGAGGCTCAGGCTGATGCAGGCTGAGGCTGAGGCTGAGGCTGAGGCCGAGGCTGAAGGCAGACTGAGGCCGAGGCTGAAGCAGGCTGAGGCTGAGGCTGAGGCAGGCTGAGGCTGAGGCTGAGGCAGGCTGAGGCTGAGGCAGGCTGAGGCTGAGGCTGAGGCTGATGCAGGCTGAGGCTGAGGCAGGCTGAGGCTGAGGCCGAGGCTGAAGGCAGACTGAGGCTGAGGCTGAAGCAGGCTGAGGCTGAGGCTGAGGCAGGCTGAGGCTGAGGCTGAGGCAGGCAGGCTGAGGCTGAGGCTGAGGCTGAGGCTGAGGCTGAGGCAGGCTGAGGCTGAGGCTGAGGCTGGCTGAGGCTGAGGCTGTGAGGCTGAGGCTGAGGCTGAGGCTGAGGCTGAGGCTGAGGCTGAGGCTGAGGCTGAGGCTGAGGCTGAGGCTGAGGCTGAGGCTGAGGCTGAGGCTGAGGCTGAGGCTGAGGCAGGCTGAGGCTGAGGCCGAGGCTGAAGGCAGACTGAGGCTGAGG